GGCCAGGATCCGCCACTGATCTGACAGGCCTTCAAGGTCATTCATTTTTCCATGCTTGTCCGTCTGCCCTGGTACAACTATTGCATATCATAATCATTATTTAATCTGTGATTTCGACCTTTGCTCTAGACGCAGTCTATCACAGTACCTGAATAATCTGCCCCACTTAATATTTATTGTATCACACGATCTGTCAGTATAATATAGCAAGGTGTAATATCGTAGTCTTTGTGTTTATTAAAGTACTTGTAGTTTCTCATCCTTTTCATTTGATAAGTATCTTACAAACCAGGAAAAAACAAAATAAATACAGAAACGAACCCCGGAACCAATCGCCTGTGACATCGGCAGTGCGTATTATAACCCGTGATGTTAAAGCAACAGGAACTGTTCCTGTTTCTACGGAATCATGGTTTTCATTTAGGTTAAAATTGCCGATGTGAAGACAAATAACGAAGGATCGGTCGGTCTAGCGTAGACCGGTTCAACGAAGTGAGTGAGAATGGGGTCTAAAGTACCGAGATCCGGGAAAACAAACATTCGAGTCACCAAACTTACGGCTAAAAATATAGTTCAAGTCTATACCTGTAGCGACTTTCCATGCCCAACATAGGTATACAATGTATACAATGTATGACAAACTCACTCAAGTACGAGGGGCACGGGGCATTTTCAACCGGGTAAAATACAAAATTCCCTTATAAAATTAAATTATGCAAATCCTGTTCAAACCTCTTTTTCAAAATGTTCTTTTGCTCGGTTTGCAATACAAACCGTTAATCCCAGAATGTTGCAGGAACAAAATTGATCGCCTGCTTGCAAGTAAATGAATTAAATTGGTAAATAACATTGTCGAAGGCTCGACAAAAAGATCATATAGAGCAACGGATGTCGCCCCTATATTTTCTCCCGAAAAATACATGGTTCACTGTTGGCTCGGATATTTTGCTCCCCCCCCCCCCTCCCTCGACAAAATTACGTCACCGCTATAGCGTAAGTTATAGAAATATGCTAATTACATTCGGCCTACTCTAAAGCTAGGCTTTAGCTAGGCTTACAATTTCAGACTTCTGTAACTTTTCGCGATTGTGTAAGCATCATTATATTTACACAAGGTCTCTTTTCTTTTTTCGGGGGTAATAATCTCACCTGCCATTGCTAATCCTTGAGTACCTGCAACTACTCCTCCTCCTAGATCTCCGTCCTACTCGTCTGACGAGAACGCATAACATCGACATCACCCTCATAACCATTCTCGGTATCATCCTGGTAATCATCATGTATACCCTGTAATGTGTACTCCTCGTATGATCAGTTCGTCAAAGACAGTAAACTTCGTGCACGTTTATTCCGTAGTATTAAAGCAGGACAATTTAATAATTGGTATATGCCTCTTGGCTCTAAATATAATTTTATTTTCAGTGTTATGTTTCCTTGAACTCGAGCCAGGCTGTCCGTGTTTTTCCCTATTTTCGTTATAGATCACCAAACTTTATTTGTTTAACACATGTGCAGAATGGTCGGGCCTTGATTTAGTATTTGTGTTACTTTGTGATATTGTGCTTTCTACACGATGCCGTCCAAACTTTGTTGATACTGGTCCTCCTCAAAGTAATACTCGGTCGACCAGCTTGGCATCTTCCTTATCAAGAACTCTTTTGGTGAAGTAGGTGACGATCGGTGATTTAAATAAACTTAAGGCAAGACAACATTTTTTTTAAGTAGAACAAGTTTAGGCACCTTATCGTAGAACAACTTCAGAAGTTTACAATTGCACATGAAATACTGCAAGAGCACATTGACTTGACGCCATGTCAAAATCTTTCTTGTGAATTCAGGTACAGTTCTTGTCACTCCAACTGTTTTGTAAAACTTCACAGCATGTGTCTCCGAATCCTTAGCAGCCTGACAACCATTGTTAAAACATGAACTAAGTATTGGTATAGAAGTGAGCCACAATATGCACAGATTTTTAAACTCGTTATCTTGTTTACCGCTTATTCCGATTGTTTGGGATTGGACTTTATACAGAGCACAATCGGTCAAGAAAATTTGAGCTAGCTATCACGAGCAGAGTATCTAGATTAGGAAAACCGCAATCCCGACAGGATAAATGTTGTCATATCCTGCTGGAAAAGAATGTTTGACATCGCAATGTATATCGAATGTATTAATGTACATTAGGCCTACATATTGGAGAGCTATTTCCTTGTAAAGCCTTCATGCGTGAACACGCTTTGTACACTGTGTAATAGAGCTTGCATCTACTTGTACTTTCCACTGCAAGTGACATCCTTAAAAAGGGAAATCCAACCCTTGACCTTGTCATAAGTTGATTTGTATGAAAGCAGAAAAATGACAGAAACAGAATGGCAAAAGTTAGAAATGAATCGGACCAATAACCAGTTATGAATGTTTAGAATATGAGATCACTAAGTCTATACGAATCTCAAATTGGTAGTTCAGTCAGTGAATGGTGACGTAGACGTGGATAACTCTCCCATTTGCCGTGTACAAAAATATCATTAATTTCTGTTTTTCTCCCAAGTTCCTTCTCCCTTGGGGCACTACTCAAAATACATTATATAGATATCATATTATTATAGGTCTTCTAAAAAGAATAGACCCTCCTGAGCAATGATTTTTTTTAAAATTTAATTTTAGTCGTCTTACATATTGGAGCAGATGTGAAAATAGACCGCAACTACATATTACATTGATATATTTAGTCAGATTTAATTGAAACTTTCATCAGTTTGCTTCTCTAATTTGTCTATCTTTTAGACTACTCGTCTATTAGGGTAGGATTTCCCTTTAACCAGTTGAACACGAATGTTTGATTAATCAGGAAATTACAGACGGCTATACCATGGTTTTGCAGGAAGAGAGTAAAATGTATCGACGGGCTGAAGAAGATTCCCCCCCCCCCCTCTTACATGTTGTTAAATATAAGCTACTCTGCAAGGGGGAGGGGTGGGGAGCCACCGTTACATGATATCACTGAGCTGAATATGTCCCCTTTTTTGCCTTGACGTACTGTGATCGAGGCCTACGTTTTAAATACAGTTTCTTCAATATCATTATTTACCTTGGTTTGAGTTCAATTTATTTCTTATTTTGTTCATTTCAGGGGCATTCCAATCCCAACAACAAGATACAGTACTCAAAACGAAAGCAAACATACATACACTGGTCAGATTGGATTAATAAGAAGTTAAGAGTTGGATGTTTTGCTTTTAGAGATCTCTATCTATACATAATGTATATGATGTATATCCAGTGATGTAACGTCAGAAAAATTTCTAATCTGTTCCTATATAGACAATGACCAATCATTTTGATAAGTATAAATGCTGAATTGCTGGGGAGCATATTTTTTCGTAAGAACACATGAAAGAAGGTATATGAAAATTGCATACACCTGAATAGTTTGTATATTATTTATCATGCTCTTCGACAGCAGTAGTTTCCTACACTGATTTCCTAACTTCAATCCTGAACCAAACACTATACATAACCGGGACAGAGATGCCAACCAGTACGATAAAATCGTATGTAGTACGATAATAAGAGTGAAATACGATAATACGATATCACCTCTTAAAATACACCCAAACAAATTTTGCTTTGTAATTTTCTCATTAAATTTTAATGACAGAGCAAACATTTTACTTGACCGAACTTACCAGTAAGACATTTTTCTGAAATTTTACTGTGGTAGTGTCGAGTTTTCGTGAAAATCTGATTTTTTTTCCTCTCCAAAATCTGTTTATTTTTTATTTTTAGGATACTCAGTCTGTTGTTTTTTTGTGTCGAGAGGTTGGCATCTCTGGAAACCCTAAACCGAACCTAAAACCGAATTGAAACCCTAATGCTATACTTTGAACAAAATTAAAACAAAACAGAGAACTTGAGACTGGAGAAACTTCTGATCTCCCATTTACCTTGCGGTGGAATCAATAGTGATCTCAGCTTTTGAACACATACAACTTTCTTCATATTTTGTCAAACTACTTTCAAAATTGCATCAACATCTTTTGTTTTTCTTTTTTTAACTTTTGTGCAGAGCTGCCAACCTTGTGCGACCAAAAAAAGGAATCATGATGGCAAAAAAAAGGAATTCATAAAAACGGAACTTACAACCACGCGCGACACACTTCCAATGCAGAAATGTTCATTCCTCATGCTGTTTTTTTTTCCATACAAGCAGGTATTTTTGTTTTGGTTATTTTGTTATTATCGGCATTTCATTCTTTTTGAAAATATTTTTCTCTTTCAAATATGTTTTAAAATTAGTTTTCTATTGAATTTGAGATCAAATCACCATTTTTGGGCAGTTGTTTGAAATGTGGTATGTAAAAAAAAAAAAAAAAAAAAAAAAATATATATATATATATATATATATATATAAAAAACGTATTTTATGAAGAAAAAACGTAATACCGTAATTTGGATGAAAAAACGGAGTAATTCCGGCACAAACGGAATGGTTGGCAGCTCTGTTTGTGCTTTTCCACAATTCAACTCACTTGAATTGTATAATATTATGTTCCTTGGTAATGTGCATACAAGAATGTATGGATATAAATGGAAAAGATGATGGCATTCATCATTTGTCACAACCCATGCTGTATAATGGAGATCTCACTGGTGATTTCAATCTCCGAGGACTGACTGTATGTTGATTGATAAGGGTTTCACTCTGTTCAATGTTTCATAGTCACTGCCTAAATTGTAAACAAATGACTGACAAGACCTATTAAATGACAAAGTGACTATAAGACACAACTCCCATCAACTACACAAACAAAACTACCACTTGACAGTCTTCATATCAAGATGGACCCCCCCCCCCCCCAAAAAAAAAAAAAAAAAAAAAAAAACACCTCATATCACTTCACTTTTCACATCTCATTTGTAATCTTACACCACTTTCAGACGGACGAGTTAGAAACAATGGTCTCACCACAATAAGAAGCAAACTACAGTTTACACCATAATCACTTTCCAACATCAAAAATATTTATGGAGCATTTTCAAAACACCTAAAGCAAACTCAAACAACAGATTTGACACTGTAGTGCAGGCAGCCAAGCAAACACACTAAATATCACAGATTACATGAATTACTCATACCTCAGGGAAAATTACAATATAAATAAAACGTCCTTCATTTTGCTTTTAGTCATGAACATTATCACACAGGTCACATGTATTTCTAACCAACCAAATATTGAGTGTGCTACATCAGCTAATCAGTATGAAACACAGCCTTTTACCCATTCAAATTCTTTCAAAGATTTCTATATTCAGTCTTACCAGTCACTTAACAGACTGCACAACATCATTCAATATGTTAGTCTGAATTTTACGACTACATTTTCATCCATTTCAATCAAAAATGTTTTAAAAAATCAATAAAATAGAAATTAAAATACATCGCTTATTACAAAGGTATGTTTATGTCAATGTACTTCTGACAAAATCATTTCCAAAAAGTTTGAATGCCACAAGATAAAAGGAAGAAAACTTCCTTATATATACGATATACCAGACAATCACAAAGCATGTATCATCACATACATTCCAAAGAACAAAATAACATTAACAGCATCAACTTCTTAAAAGTATGTACATGTACATCATTTATATATACAAGCCATAAAAATCATCTGCTCCATCCAACACATTGCCATCAAACCTACCAAGATCTCATTTATGACAGTCCAGTACTAATAATGATCTTTACCCTACTATAAAATTGGACAAAAGTCAATTTTGAATGTGGTCTTCTCAATCATTTCTTTATGATGTATTTGGTTATGATCATTTTGTGCACTTTATCGAAAGGCATCTATATCAGAAAAGTTGAAAAGGGGGAGTGTTTTGTATCTAACTTTGAGCCATTACAACTAGCAGGGATTATCTGAATTATAAACCATGGACCATCAATCACTTTAAAAAATTATATCTTTTCAGACCACCATCACTAAGCATACAAGCCAATGCACTTCAAGTGTGTATCATACCACTGATTAAAAAGTTGATCATTTTCCTACATGCATTTACTTAGTCATGAAGAAAAAAAAATGGTCATTCAAAACACAATAATCCACTATTATACAGACTCAATGTGTTTCCAGCAATATCAAAGAATACACTTCATTCGACTTTGTTATCAAAACATAAATACAGTTGTGTCAGTAGTCAACAACATGTCATTTTTCTGTCAACATAAACATAATTTCTGTCAAAACCAACATCATTATGCCATATTTCAGACAACAAATCTACATTGGCATATTTCACATCTTTCCAAACATATTACTATTTATACATGGCATTTTCTATCGCTATATTCAACATTACCATCACATATTTGTCAACAAACAACATAATCATGTCACTTCACTGACCAAGAATAAACCCCTGCATATACAATGTATTTCAATCTACACAACATAGATGATGGTCATATGTTTTGCTAAGAAATGAAATAAAAGTGTCATATTTCTTTCAACAAATCAACAATGACATGCCATAAATTTCAAAAATCAACACAGACATGGCAAATATATACCAACAAATCCAACATACTCATTTCATCTTTCTGTCAAGAAAACAAAGTGAAGAAAGGCTGTATTTGAAAAGAAAGAGTACTCATCATAGACTCATCACTGAGTTAACAGGAATAATAGAAAGTAAACAATCATGTACAAACATCTCTAGACATTCAATACAGCTCCATATACAATGTTACAATCATACTTAGCACATTTGTTGGTTTGTATTTTGCCAAACCTTTTGACAGCAAAAGACACATCACAAACTATGAGGAAGTTGAACATTTCGCAGCTTGGAAGTATATTACATTCATTGCTGACAAAAGCTGCATGAACAGCATAACATGCAGTACACACATCACAAATCCTACGAGTTTTTATATCAGGCTTAATATATCACACAAATGTAATTATAACACGTTGTTCAAGCATTTACAACCAAGTGTTCCACACAACTAAACTGCACCTTTCTAGTCATTGCATAATGAATCGACTAGATATGATAAGCTTCACCAGATTTTTTCCATTCTTGTCAATTTGACAAGGATTATCTACATTTTTATTCAACCACATGACTTCATTTCATACAAATCTAACTTTTTGAGGGAGAAGGGGGCATTTTCAGCACCAAAAACCATTCCACAAAAGTATATAAATACAAATAAATATATCTCGGCAAATACACACACTAATTCAGTGACATGTAGACACAGCCCTTTTCATTTATATGTTCTGCACTCAGACACACCAGAGTCAATATCAGCATTGAAATCTTCTTTGAAGTCTGAAATTATTCAACACTGTGGCTACTTTGTTCCTTTTCATTTCAATAACTTTTTATTAGAAAAATATAGCTGTGTTTTGACAATGAACATTCCATGATTTACATAATGAAAGGAATTTCACATGTGATTTATTTCATCTATATCATAAGGGACTGTAACCATACTTACCTGAGCGCAGAACTCTGAACTAAATGTTACTTCATTTCTAGAAAGGATCTGAGTGATGTGTGTTTACATATTGTGCTTATTTGTGACATAAAAGACTTTAATTTGAGGTTAGAGCAGATTCATACAATTAGCTTGTATAAGCATATTCTTCACGGAATAAATGTAAAAGACGTATATTCCTTCAATGAAATGAAAAAAGTCTAAAAATAGATTGAAAAGGACTAAAAAAAATTTATTGGAGATATATAACCTTAGAACACAATGGAAAGACTGACTGAAATTTAAATTACTCAGTACAAAGGCAAATGGGATCTGGCTTTAAAAAAACATAACTTGTTGGGCCACTGCAAGATCACTTTCTCATCAGGGTTCAGCAGAGGGTACTCAATGAGAAAATCCTGGCACAGAAAAAGCCAATCCTGTACAACGTTTGTCACATGTCAGAGTAGAGATGACTAGTGCTGTACTAATATAATACTATCTCAGTCACACCAAAAATACCTAGGTCCCATTGAGAAGAAAAAAAAACTCTAAACCGATTGATTGTCAGACAAACAGGTTTAGTGACGTTTTCTTCATTCTGCTGTCACTCTGCTGTCGGTCTGGTGTCGGTTTGTCAGAGTGACTGGGGTACCAATAATAATAATAGTTTTGAAGGATTTCTATCATGAATTGAGTTGTTATGGACATGCATGGTAGCTGGACATAACCAGTTTGATCATTGGTTTGTCTTAATAATCACTAAATCAGATTTCTAGTAGCGGCTACACGACCAGGTTAAGGCGATACAGTACTGGAAAAGAGGAATACATTAGGACAATAATTTTCAGCCTAATAATCATACAAGTAATAAATGGAAATATTTTTTGGGCAACAGCGAAGTACTATCAGAAACTGCGTTTAGGTTCTAGGTTGATTTGTAATGGATTGAAGTAAATGGGAAATTAGCCTTAAAGAAGTCCCCTCTCTGTCTGTACATTATAGGCCTATTTTTCATTCCTTTCATCAAAAACAAAATCCCTTTTGGCAACCATTTTTTTTCCTGGCATAGAAAATTAACCACAAAAATATTTCATCAATTTATTTGTATATTCGGAAGACTATAAAATGTCCGAATGTCCTGTATGTCTCGAACAAAATTCGCGTTTTACCTGATCATCATCCAGCTACCAGAAGCCAAAACTCACAAAGTGGGTGCATGATAGAAATAGTGTATAGGTCTACCAACCTGAAGCCTGCTTTCCACCTGCCCCATAGAACTGTCCTCCAGTACCATCTCCAGCCCCTTGGGCGGGGTTCCCTGCACCCCATCCCATCGCAGCGGCCTGCTGCTGTGCCTGGTAGGCCGTTGAATCAGCTGCTAAGGCAGGGTTATTCTGAGCCTGGGGTGTGGTTTGTGGGTTGCCCTGTGCAGCCGACTGGGCCATGGTTGCCTGTGCCTGTAAGGCATTCATTCCCGCACCTCCACCCATCAATAAACTCCCTACCATACCCAAGCCAGCCTGGTTCAAGGCTGCTGCTAACACAGCCTGGTTGAGCTGGTTTTGATTCATGTTGCCTTGAGGGTTTAAGATTCCCATTGCTGCAGCAGCTGGGTTTCCCATACCACCTCCCCCACCCTGGGGATTGTTAGGGATCATTTGACCTTGACCTTGGGTATTCATATTGTTATAACCCCCACCCCCATATCCCCCACTACCACTACCATCATTACCACCACCGCCTTGCTTGTTCCTGAAGTACTCGTTCTGGTATCCACCGCGACCTCCTTGGCTGAAACCTTTTAAATAAAACAGACATGTACATGTTAATGTTTTATGAATGTTTAAAAGATTTTGGAAGAAAATACCTGATAGCTGAGCAATGAGAAACAAAAGATAAGATACTGAAATTTACAGGCACAAAGAAAAAAATTTGGAGTTGGGATTTCAAATAAAATTTATTTCCAAGACATTATATACATATATTTTTCTTTCTTTCATGAATATTTTGCTCGTCTGCACAACTGACCTACTACATAATGCACTTTTTTTTTCCTCCAAAAATTCACGTCTTTGACTAGGACCCCTGTTACAGAGTTACAGAGTCCACTTTGGTCTTACACCTACTGATTGCAGGACCGAGTCCGGACTCGGGCCGGCGTCAAACCACATCCAGAGGTGGACTGGATGGAGGCGGCCTCAGTCCACTTTCAGACGTATGTGTAACAGGGGTCTAGATTAGCATTATTTTTTTTTTACTCAAGGCACCATCAGATATGCCGAGGTAAACCACTGCATTTTTTTAAATACACGACTGCACACAATGAAGTTTCTTAGGGAATTCACTGAGATAGAGAAATGTGAAGCATATCATGCTTATATCATTATCATGACTCAGATCTTAAAGAGACTTGGTAACATTGTAAAGATGAGAGAAAATGGTGCTAGGGTAGTGACTTCAATGCTACATGTACAATTAAAAATAATCTGAAACTTCAAGTGAAAACGGACAATTATTAACGATAAAAATTGGGAAAAACTGATCTTATCGATACCTTAATTCTCCCAACTATAAAATTACAATATATTTTCATTTTAGGTCAATGTAAATTGTCACAAAGCAATTAATTGGCTCTATATACCATTCCAGACATTTAAGTGTTGAAAGATTTTAAAAGCCTGTTTTTTGTCTTATTTTCATGGAAAAATGGTTGGGAAAATTCAAAAATAGTTCGGAGAATTTACTGTTAATCACTAGAGGGTGTTGACCAGTTGACCTTTAATATCTTTGTGGTTTGAGAACTTTTTCAGGATTTTTTGCATGTTAAAGGGCTAGTAAAGTAGAAGGAAGATAATAAGTAACATTTCATACCAAAATCACACAATTTTTTAATCAACCTTCAACAATGTTACCGAGTCACTTTAACAAGGCTCAAATCATATTGTATTTTCTGCTACTTACCACCACCACCACCATCTCTGCCACCAAATGGTGGCCTTCCGCCTTGCTGATGAGGGTTCTGCCCTTGCTTATTCTTGGGATCAGCATAGTTTATCAAAACACTGTTACCCTGTAGAGACATTATAAAAAAGATAATTGATTTGATCACAATCTTAGTTATGATTTCAAAGGCTGTCTGTATTCTCAAATTATTCCATGATGACTAATATTAGTAAAATACATGGTATAGTCATGTTTTCAAACCGCCTCCCCTTTTCTTTTATTTGACATGTTACCTTAAATGACTCCCTAGTCCCCAGTCTAATCAAAATCTTTCAACATAAAATATGGGCCCTGTCTTACAAAGAGCTCAATTGATCCAAATCAATCGCAAGTCCCCCAATCAATCACAAATTTGCAGTCTCCCATCTCTATGTACATAGTTGCAATTGATATTGATCTCAAATAAGCTGCGATTGATATCAACTCTAAAACACAAAGTAAATTTGTTTACACTTGCAACCAGCTAAAAAGGACTTACATTGATGATATGATCCTGGCCGATTAGGCTCTGTGCAATCTGAGCATTTTCTAATGTAACAAAGGCAAATCCTCTGAATTCTTTGGGAATGAATACATCTGTGACCTCTCCTATCTTGGCAAAGTACTGATAGATATCATCCTCCTTCACATCTGGTGATAACCTACCAACAAACAGTTTCCTCTTCTCTGGTTGCTATAGAAACGAGATGGAAAGAACGGATTTGGATTATGAAATGGCTAGAGTCATGCTGTTACTAAGCTACATTAATGATAATGTTGAACATTTTGTCATGTTCGCAGTACCTTATTAACTTGGCTTAAATAAATAAAAACATATCCCAGATAGAAATTTTAAGTTTTTCACATGGATGTGTAAGTATCAATATTTAATGCTGGTTTTCAATAACAAAAACAACAACAGCAACATCAACCACAAAACACTATAAAATCTTTGTGTACTGTATTTAAGAATACTCTGCAAATCAGAGCTATTATGAATAATACAGGAGTAGTTAAAAGTAATTCCAAAGCATTGTCAAAATCTATAAAACCTTAAATTTTATCTCATTTATGGGAAAAATTTCTTACACTGTTCATTAAGAAAATGGAGAGGGAGTAAGAATTCCATACAAACTCTATACATGTACATATCTTGCTTTAAAGGATTTCTAGCAATACCCCATCTTTTAGTAATGATTGAAAAATAAAAATATCTCATTAGATACATGTACATTAAAAAGGAAAAATCTTATAAGAATAAATTCTCTATTCCATGAAATGCCAGATGAACTTGGCCATTTGTGCCTTAAAATGTGTAGTAAATAGATATTATTCTACATCGTTTAGTGAAATTTTGTCATTACTTAAGGTACAATGTCCCATTTGCAGGCCAAAAAATGAAAAGGTTAAATTCCAACGGCAGTCGAAAGATACTAATTTAGAACTTCCCTAAAAAAAAAGGGGCTTGAAAATGTCTTTAAGTGGGAAGATAAGTCGAATCAACTTAAGAGCTATAGAGCCAGTAAGTAATAGTCTGATTTTCAGACCATTGTACCGAATGGTTGTACGTTTTATGCTGCGCAAAGATTCAATCAGTTTAATTTTGGCCATTACAAGAAGTGGGTTATTGATGTAGACAAATGCTCATGTACTCTTTACAGCTCATTTTATATATGTTATTACCAAAGAAGAAAAAAAGCCGTCACTCAATAGTGTCTGACAGTGAAGTCTAGCAAGTAAACGGGTTTCCTTGCATAATATGAATATTAGGACACTGGTAATGTTAAAATTTCACAGATAGGACTTACACGACATATTCATGATCCCTGCAAAGTTCTACAGAATTTGATGTTGGCTGCAAAAGGGACATAGTATCTTTAAAATCAAATTTGACTGTTTCATTAAAGTAGAAGTAATGAAAAATAGGCAGGTATGACAAACCTCTACCTGGGAATCTGGATATTTGACCTCACACCACCTATCATCAATCTTATGCCTTTTATTGTTGACTGCATTCTGTGATTCAATGTCTCGATATCTGATGAAACCAAAACCTTTGGACTTGCCTTTGGGGTCTTTCTTTAGCTGTGGGGAAAAGCAAATAACTTTGTAAACCTTGTTTTTTTAAGAACATATTAGAAATCTTATAATCAAATTGATGTACGAGCATGTATTTTTTTCTTCCATTTGGGTGTGAATTTCTGAAAACAAATTATTTTAACAAATAGACACAGTAGACCAGAGTAGTTTCTGTTCATAAATAGGGGCCCAACGTGACCACCGGAGCCTGGAGTTGATATGTATTTCATCCGCTGCATCAATCTTAACATGTGAGACAACAACATAGATTTTGCATTCACGTTGTAAATACTTAGCTAAAACTTGCTTTTCATTATTTTTTTTACACCAGGTGAAGTTTCATGCCACATTTGATTCTCTTACCAAAAAAAATAATATTCTTTTATTGAGGGCCATTTATTGTTTGAGTCCTATTTTATAAAGTACATTTTGCTTTCAAAATTGTGAGTGTTTTTCTTCTCATGTGTCACTTGATATGGATAGAAATAGCGTATCTAGCGATCATAAACTTACAATCGCGGTCGCGCATATACAGTAGGTGTTATAGAGAAGGAAGACATTGAGAGAAATTCACTGTTGTGGAAGCAAACTGGAATTTTATAAACATTTTAGCCACATATCTGACCTGCTCAAAACAAGTTTTAGTTATGTACATGTACAAATTCAATACAAAATCTGTACTATAAGAAATTTATTGGAGACCAACCGGTTTTATCAGCCATACATGTGTCCGTGGTTGAAGGAAACCCAAGATAACTCGGGCCTTACACAAAGCATTTTTATGAGAGCAATATGACTGCACACAATAAGTGCAAAGCTTACATTTACTTTTGATCAGTGCATGATCTCAACAAATCTGTCATTACTAACCTGATCGATGTGGAAAAGAGCATTTTGGTAGTAGTTCAAACAAGTTCAATTATAGGAAAGTAATGTAATCAATTACAATGACATAGATGTAAACGTGCTTTAATTGTCCTTCAATGTAAAAGGCTTTAGTTTATTAACTGTATTCTGCTGTTTACCCTACCTGTGTCATAACTAATTCACCATATTGTGAGAAGTAGTCCTTCATGCCTTCTACTGTTGTGTTGAAATCTAGACCAAGAACAATCAGATCTGATGTTCTCCTGTCATCAGTTTTCCTTGTCTTTCCGACTGGAAGTTCTCGTGTATCATCACCTTTCCGTTTATTTTCTGGAGAATACAGAGTAGAGTACAAACAAATTAATCAAAACAAAGTTATAATTAAAAAGCTGCAATAAATGCCACAAAGTCTACATGTACATGTAACTAACAATGTTCTTCATATATTTTAATTTTCAAAAATGTGACAATTTGATACCAGAGTGGTAGCGATTTGCTCACCTTCAACGTGTTCCTGAAGAATCCTGATGACGTGAGTTATTACAAACGCATTTTAGATTTTGTTTACATCACTCTTTAGTTTTTAATCAGGGTAATGAATGCCAACTTGGGCTAAGTAATATGATTAATATCAATATCGAATTTCACATTTTAAACTACAGCTAGCCTTCAAGCTGAAAGGCTACTCTACTCAGATATTGTTTCCTTCTATTTTTTTTTTTTAAGTAATGCGATTTGAATTTGGCGTATATATTCACAAATGAATGATAAAGGCCAATAAAACAAGACAACAACAACATTTCTATGAAGTATGAACTATGATATGACTTTGAGTATGAATATGATTATGAATCAACATCAAGACCATGATGCAGTGTAGGTGGCTGGACTCTGGACGATTTTTCAATTTTCCCTATTGTATTGGATCGTTTGTCACTGATATGACGAGTTCGTAATGGCATGCAGTTTTTCCGTTATAATCATTTTGCCTTCGGCGTAGACTAGAAGGAATGAGATTTAGATGACGTCATGCGCAGCGAGAGTTTTAAATATCGCTGCAAGATTTTTATCATGGATGTCGATTTTGACCCATAATTTCCTAAAAAGGGACCATTAATCGGATTATTTCAGTCAAGTTCGTAAGTGGAACCGAAGAAGTTAAACCTGGCTTTAGAGTCTACCTAATTTTCAAAATAAGATGCACCGGATATGCATGATATGCATCCTGTGAAATATGGAATTTGGCCGGTAGTTTTGCCAAGTTTGGTGTAACGTTTCTTTACACAAAGCGTGAACACTAAAGCGTACATAGATCTAGGGCTGTTCTGTCTCGAAGAGCCAACCCTACCCAAATCAGACTGAGGCTAACGAACGAAAGAGACAGTTTGAATTAAAGTTTATTTCTGATTTACCTTTAGGGAATGTGACGACGTAGAGATGATTTTGCCACACGCCATCTGGTGCCATCACTCGGCCTTCTACTACACGGAGTCCTCGCATTGTTCCCGATTCGGGATTACGGTACTTCAGCCCCGTCGCACCCGGGAACTGGGCGACAATCGTCGATAGCAAGATGGACGCACCTTCAGGGCTTGGTGGTTCGGCTGGCAGCTCGATAGTGGCTTCTGGGTCGTTTTCATCTTCTGTAGTTTGGATGTAATCTGCCATTTTAGCTATTTATTTCGAGTTCAATTTATTCTATAGATAATAGAGTACGTCAAAATTATCGTGTTTATCCAGTAAAAACCTCTCACTTCGGTTTTTTTAGATTTCAACTTCGGAATTTTACGTTGGCATTAACGTCTGCCTACCTACATGTACGCCGCGTGAAAGATGACGCTATACGTAGACTAAGCTTCATGCATTTTGATAACAATTTTTTAAGACTCATTCATCCATAATCCAAATTCAGTGAAATTCATCATTACCGAATTTGTTCAACAATTTATATATGAATACATACATTTAAAGTATTATAGCCATAATTAAAAACCAAAATTATAAAACTGAATTAATTTATTCAATTATATTAATTTCAACCGTCTTGGAATACAACTACATCTAAGAAATGAAATGAAATGAAACTCGCCTAAACCCAACTACTGGCGAAACCTCATGTTTAGATTTATCATTAGCAACTCCCGCTCTAGCCAGTTCCACTAGCTGGAAAGTGCTATCAAACAAATTCGGAAGTGACCATTTTCCAATATATATTGAAATCGACAAAAAAACTCCTAAATCAGATTGTACGAAAGATGACCTAACTCTAAAACGGTCATTCAAGAAGATAGATTGGCACGAATTCAATAAACTGTGCGATCAACGAATGGACACTGACTCGCTGCTAGACGCAGATGTCAAAACTTTTTACGGAAACTTCATGGAATCTCTAAATAATATCTTAAATGAATTACACACTGTACCCAAAAGAAATAAAAACAAGAATGCGAGATTCAACCCCGTCCCATGGTGGACAGAAAAATGCAAAATAAAGATTAAGGAACGGAACGAATATAAAAATAGGTTATTGAGAGTATGGAATGATAAAAATCTAAAATTATACAAACAAAAGAAGGCCGAAGCCCAAAGGATTATTAGACAGACAAAACGAATGTTTTTGGCTGGATTACACTTCAAAACTGAACAGGTTCACTTCAATCTCAGAACTATGGAATTTGATTCGTTGTCTGAAGGGTAATCCAAATAAAACTCATTCTAAGATATCAGCACTAAAAGTAGAATCTAAAGTAATTATAGATGATCAAGAAAAAGTTAACGAATTTGGAAAGCATTTTCTGAAGATCAGTAGTAAAACAAAAAAGGGAAATAAAGAACTGCTAGATGAATATAAATCTATTGATTATAAAGGAGAACATGATTCAGTTATCAATGAACCTTTTACTATGATGGAACTCGAAAAAGTACTTAATATAAAAAAGACATCAGCCCCTGGTGAAGATGGCTTGATATATACTGTGTTTCAAAACCTTCCAACCAGGGCTAGGAAAACATTACTCTGTCTTTATAACAGAATATGGTCTTCTGGGACGATTCCGGAACAATGCAAACACGCAATGTTGATACCAATATTAAAACCAAATAAAGACTCCTCCCAACTAACATCCTACCGACCTATCTCATTATTACCTTGCTTTATCAAGATATTAGGAAGTATGGTAAAGGAGAGATTAGAATGGTACATAGAGAAAAACGAAATTTTGAGTAGTATACAACATGGTTTTAGACAAAAGAGAAGCTCAATATAGATAACTTAGTACATTTAGAAAATGAAATTCAGAAATATCTATTTGTGGGTATGAAAACCATAGTCGTATTTATTGATCTCGCCAAAGCCTATGATACTCTCTGGACGAAAGGATTAATCGTCAAGTTACGTAGAATTGGTCTCCAAGGAAACATATTGATTTTTTTGAGAAACTACTTGTTGAACCGTACCTTACAAGTGCAAATAGGTAATGCCAAATCGGCAATTACGCATCCTGAAAACGGTTTACCCCAGGGTAGCATTTTGAGCTCCCTCCTTTTTAATATAATGATAAGTGACATACCTTTGAGACCAGATATACATAGCTTGATTTATGCAGACGACATCGTAATTTGGGAATCAGGCCATGATGTAAAACAAAATATCCAGAACATACAACAATATCTAAACTCCTTGAACTCATGGCTCAATCCATTTGGACTTATTATGTCGGTAGAGAAAACGACTCCTATCTTATTTTCGAACAATACAAATGATGATAATTACGAGTTATATATAAGAGGTCAAAAGTTGACACCACATTAAGAGCACAAGTATCTCGGCGTCATTTTGACAAACGGATGACTTGGAGACCTCATTTATTAGATATTAGTAAAAGATGTAAAGGAAGGATTAATGTTATCAAAAGTCTAGCATACGCCAAGTGGTCTGGTGATGCTAAAGAACTAGTGATGATATATAAAGCATTAATACTATCAATTATCGACTATGGTTGCGAAGCATACAACTCGGCTACGACAAGCGCAAAAAATATGTTGAACTCAGTTCAGTACCAATCGTTATTTGTTTGTGCAGGCGCTCGGAAAGGTACATCCCTTAAAACGCTGCAAGTCGAACTAGGCGAAATGCCTTTTGATTTAAGGCGAGAAATGTTATCAATTAAACTAAGAAAACGAATCGAGAGTATGCGCAAACACCCTCTGAACGAAGATGTGAAAGATTGTTGGCAATTTAATATTCTTGGAGGTACTAACTCTAGATTAGCTTTTGGACGTATAGAACCAAGGATTGTACATTAAAATTCAGTTACATACTAGAAGATCCAATGAAGTATTTTTTCAACACACCCTTTTGGAAAATACTCCCTCCCCATGTGTCATCAGAGCTAAAAGAGGTAATAACGAAAACAGATATCTGTTTTGCCCAAAAACAAGCAGCCCTAGAATTGATTAATTCGAAATGGACAAATTATTTACACATAATACATATTGATCAAGATCGCCAGATAAAGACTCTGCTGCTGCTGCATTTCATGTACCTTATTATGATGTTTCTCAATCTAAGAGACTGGCTAATTACACATCGTCTTATAGAGCAGAGATGGCCGCAATTGTACTTGCCCTGACATGGCTATTACAACTCCCAGGACTCTACACCGGGGCAGTCATCTTTTCTGATTCTTTGAGTTCACTCCAGGCCATAGAATCTCGTAAAGACGAATCTTTCATTCTTGAAATTTTAACCCTGTGTAGTCAACTAAAATACAAGGGCACCCAGGTCTATTTCGAATGGATTCCCAGTCATTGTGGTCTACAACACAATGAGATAACAGATAAGTTTGCTAAAGCAGGACTAAATAAAAATATAGAAATCAACAACGCTCTTACCAGAGCAGAATCAAATTATGTTATAAAGAAATACTACATAGAGATATAGCAAAAAAGATGGAATGAAACATCATCCCCCCTACGGGAAACGCAAACTCTAGTATCAAAAACAATTTTGTGTGTTACCTGAACAACAGATATCATGAAACTATTCTTCATCGCCTAAGAATGGGAAACTTAGGTTTAAATAATAATCTTTTTGAATTGAATCAACATGAGACAGGTCATTGTCCAAACTGTGAGCACCAAAAAGAAACAGTTAAACATTTTTTATGTAAGTGCCCACTCTTTCTTATAGAGAGAGCCATGCTTATAACAGAATCTGGAATAGAAAACGAAGAATTAATCCCAATACTCCTGAAATCAACAGATATTAATCACCAACAGGCTCTGGTTAACTTCGTAGTTAGATCTAAAAGGGTACACCAGTGTACCCCTACTAACCACCTTGCACCGCACATAATTATTTGAGCCCAATATGTTTCGCTTTTTATAGTGAGTATACATGTACATGAAGAAGAAGAGTGAGAAAGAAGAAAAAAAAAATAGAAGAGAGAACTGTCTATATTAACGTTTAAAATCTTCATGTATCATGATCTGTTTTTTTTATTTTTTGGTTTTCGGTCAAAATTTTGAAGAAACACGATGGAGACGACTAGACATATTGGTGGACGTCGGAGGGCCTAGGCTCAGCATTAGGCTGAGTTGAGAAGCTTGTCACGACGTACCGTGTCCGAGTTGGTCCTTGGGCGTCCTTTTGCTCGCCAGCCACTGAATTCTTCATCATTAAATAAAAGTTTAGCTTTTAAAAATCTAATTTATCCAAATCTATATATAAAAAAAAGTAATCTAATTTTAAAGGAATAAAAATCCTGAGAGAAGAGGCGTAAATATTCACTTCTGAATGAAAAACGCCTATAAATTAAAACAACAACAAAAACAACAACAACCGTTTCACAAAACACTGTCATCCCATTGAAATGCGTTTACACGCGTTTCAATGGGATATCGGCGTACAAATAAGTTTGCAAGCAAGCAAGATTAATAAATCACTTTAATTATTGACAAAAATAAATTTAGTCATCAATATACACCAGATAAAATGTAAAGTTATATATTTGGTCATCTAGTTGCCAGGAATCATCCCAATTTATCAATTTCGCTAGTGGAAATGAAGCAAATGTGGGGGAAAAAAGACACTCATGCACTTATTCCGTGTTTATAAAGCGCTCAATACATCGATCCAACGATGTGCCTATAATGCCTGGATTACATTTGGCCTGCGACTAGTCTACGGAGCCCGTATCCTGCTCGTATCCCCTTTTCGGTGCGGCCTCTGTGCGGTGGCAGGAGGCGGCCGTGAGATTTTCGTAAGGATTCGCGGGCTCCGTGCAGCCTTTACGATTTTGTTTCGTGAGAAATTAAACAAATTTGAAAAAATCGTAAGCCCGTAGCCCGTATACATGTCGTAGGTGGCATTGCACAATCCCCGCACGGGCATCGCCCGGAGGCCTCGCACTAGCTGATTGTGCAGCAAACGTACGATTTTTCGGTGAACATGGGGGCAAAGAAAATCGTACGGAGATTGTAGACTCATGGGGCATTCGAACGGCAATTGCACAGCTATCGCAAGTACGGTCACCGCGCCTTGAGTCCGCGCAACATTTGCACCGTGCTGCACGGGCTCCGTATGATTTCCGTGCGGAGGCTGCGGAGACTGCACGGCTACTGCATGCAAATTGTACGATTTCCGTACAATCTCCGAGCAGCCTCTGTACGGATTTGCCCCGGCCTGCCCCCGAGGGCCAATACAATAAATGGCACGATGCTCGTAGATAATGTAGACAAAAACATCGTAGCCCGCGTAGCCTCCTACGATGTCTACGAAAAATCGTAGACTAATTATCGTACGGCGCCCGGGGCAAATGTAATCCAGGCATGAGCGCTTTACAGATA